AATAAATATTTAATGAGACCCAAAGAAAAAGCGAAGAAATCCATTTCAACCTCTTCTTTCTTTCTCCTCAGATGCAGCCTTCGATTTCTTCTCTGGTTTTTTCTCTTGCTTCGTTGACGGCTGAATCAGAGAAATAACGTCAACTCATTATTGTCTCTTCCTCTGTAACGCGGCGGCCGATTCTCCTCCGTTTTTTTTTTTGTACGGCGGCGGAGAAATCAGCTCAGCTCGTCCTTTTTCTCCTCAATCTACCTTTTGGGCTGCATGGCTTCATCTCTGGTTTGCTGTTTTTGATCCTCCATTTCTTGTTCCTCTGGTTGCCTTTCATCCTGATCACTAATAAATTTCTAAATGAGAGGACTCACGGAAAATTCAGAGGTTCTGATAACGAGAATGAGATTGTAAGAGGATTCGAGGAAGGAAAGATGACGGAACGGTAGACAAATTTGAAAGAATTAGAATGAGAATTGCAGAGAAGAACAAGAACCCCGCGAGTCTGAGAGGACGAGAGAAACAAGCTTTGAATTTTGAAATAAACCAGCCATGGCTATAATAATATACAAAAACGGTTTTAGCGTATCGCTGTGAGTTCGTTCCAACGGATAAAAATTTATTATGAACCAACGGATACATTTTGATTTTTGAAATTTTTAGAGTTTAGAATCTCAGGCAAAGAAGGCTTTTCAAAAGTCCAGGTTTAGTGGAAAACCAAACGGTTATTTTTCCCATAATTATGTAAAATAAGTCTACCTATATCTCATAAATCTTTTATTTCATATAATAAAAAATTATGAAATTTCAATATTATGTATTTTCTGAATAAATATTATGTATTCAAATTCGTATTTGGGCCACCCTTTGCCCGTGACCCTGAAGTGGCAGGGGCATTCGTTTATCTGTCCGTGATGCATTAAGCAGAAAAAAAATCTCTAAGTAAAATCTCAAGAGTGAAATATTCTAAATTTCCTTTCATTGCACAGGCTTCTTCTGTATTATGAAAGGATACACTTAAATACAAATCCTCTTCATCATGGTGTTAAAAATATTCTAAAAAGAAATTTTGAATTAACTAATTTACTCTTTATCATACTAATTCACGAATTTTGACTTAAATCGCCTAAAGATAAGAGTTTTTTTTTTTTTCCCATTAATTTTATTTTATTTTTGACATAGTTGTTTTTGTAATATTTTTATTATATTGGGACAAAAGTTTAAGCAATTTAGTAGGGATGCTTATAAAACTTATGAGTAGTATGTAATAACGAGTTTTAATACATAAAATGATGATAAATTCATGTTACTTCCTTATTATTACAACTTTTTTTTTTTGCAGTTATATTTTTTCCTTAAAATCTCGCACACTAAATTTAGGGAAGGAAAGCACTATCATTTTCTCAACTAAGGACTGCGGGCCTGTTGCAAAAAGGGTACTTGTCTTGATCTTGAAGCATCCTTGAATTTCACATTAGATATATTCAATACAAATTCTCACGTTAATTTCGAAGTTAAATAATTAATTTATAAAAATTAAAATAATTAGTTAAATTAATGATTTAAAATATATGTATATTAGTTTTTATCAAATATCCCAAAAATTCCCATCAATGATTTGTCTTTTTTTTCTTTTTGTTTTTTTTTTTTTTAACCCGTGCCTGCAGGCATCAGCTTCCCACTAACTCTTCAATGTTCTTGGTCATATTCCCACCTCAACTTGTGAATGTACAGAGTAAACATTCTTCTTCCTTGCTTTCAAAGTGATTTGTGCTGCATGATACTCCCTTCAATCCTAAATATAATATTCATTTTATAGTGTAAATTGTACTATAAAATGAGTCTTATATTTAGTACCGTAAAAGTACTAACACACCTCATATTAATTACTGGTATTATTCTATCATTATTAACACTCCCATTATTTACTCATAGTTCTTCATTTCAATGATTTACCAAAATCATTATCCAAACATTTTACTTTCATTATACGGCTATCACACAATATTGAAGAAATCAAATTTGGGTGAACGAGATTGGATGTCGCATTTTGATGCGTAATTAGTTTTTTTTTTAGCTGTTTAAACGGTATTGGTTTTTTTTGGGGGGGGACGTTTCTTGCGGTTACTTTCAAACCCTCCCTTTTTTTTTTTTTTATGTTGGCTTAGGAAAATGTTATTCCTCCTATTCTTGAAATAGGACATAATTAGAAGGTTGATTTTAGTTCTAAATATAGGAATCATTTCTTATATTTTTTGATTCTTTCCTAAATTACCCCTATTAAATAATTAAATACCATAATAATACTTATTATTCATTAATAGTACACCTATATATTTTATAAAGTGAATGAGTACTTAGTACTCATTAATTCCCACACATACATCAATTCTACCATTTTATATTTTTAATGAAATAATTTAAAACGTTTTTTTAAAAAAAATATTTCATACAAATACCCATTCAAGGTAATTGGATTTTTTACGAGCGAGAAATAGCATAATAATAAGCATATTATCTATTTTCTTTGTGCCCAGAAAACATAATCTTCTATTTATATTTTATCCAATCAAATAGAAAAAATTCCTCCCTGAAGAAAAACGAAAAAAATTAATTCTACACATTTACCATTCATTTTAAATCTATAAACTAGCATCTTATGATGGTTAAAAGAAATCATTTTGAATCTATAAAAAATTTCATTTAAAAAAATTTATAAACTAGCGTCAAACATATAAAAATAATTATGTAGGCTGTGTGAATTTGTAAATCCCAAAACAAAGATGACTATAATATGGTGGATTTCATTCTATCAAAGACTAAAATAGTGTTCCTACACATATAAAGCTTGGACGACGTTGGACCGGAGGAGGCAAGTTAACCAGACCCTGAATTTTTTTTCAAATGTCAGTTTTTTCACACAAATTTTAATTGAGGGTATTTTGGGAAACATATGTCATATTTATAATTGTTACCTAACTTAATTAATATCATTAATTTAATCAAAATAGTTAAATAGATTCTATATTAAGAACTGGAAGAGTATATGAGATGTGTTTTTGATGTCAGAATTGAAAACATTTTATGGTTATAATAAGAGGACAACCATTTGGTTAAAATACGGGAATTATGAAATTATAGAGGAAGCAAAAATGAAGATGGATTCCTAATAATTTGCGCATGTTTGGTACATTAGATTTACAATTCCAGTGAAATAAAATTCCTTCAAAAACTGATGAAAGTGGCTGCATCCCAAACCCCATGTAACCTGCTACTCCTCCAGTCCTCATTATAAGACCCAATTTGACTTTTTATTTGGTCCTAATTATAAGACCCAATCCATTTTCTCTCTTATACTCCTCCGGTCCTTATTATAAGACCCCAATCCATTTTGTCTCTTATATTTATGCATTTTTTTCCAAGATAATCCTTCTAATAATGATAGTTTTAGCCAATATACTTAATTAGCAAGGATATTTAGGAATGACAACACTTATTTATTATAAATAACCAACTTAACTTACTTCCTTAATCTCCTCAAATAAGTCAATTGGGTCTTATAATTAGGACCGGATGAGTATTTATGCATTTTTTTCCAAGATAATCCTTCTAATAATGATAGTTTTAGCCAATATACTTAATTAGCAAGGATATTTTAGGAATAACAACACTTATTTATTATAAATAACCAACTTAACTTACTTCCTTAATCTCCTCAAATAAGTCAATTGGGTCTTATAATTAGGACCGGAGGAGTATTTCTTTTCCAAGGAACTCCAGCATTTCACCTTCCCCCGTGAAGATGGATTCCCATTTCTGGTGCAGATTTGTTTCAGTCGTTTTTTTTTTTCCTTGCATGAATTTGTTTAATCTATAAGCTTGCTACCCCCACAACCATATTGCTGTTATTACTTCATCCTCTTTCTTCGGATTATTTTTCTCCATCATGAACTTCCTCCTCCTTCAATGGGGATTTCTGAGACTTTTTCCAATACTAGGAGGTCGTGATACTGAGCTATCTCATGAAAGGTCTTCATTTGTATTTATCATCCAATTGACACCCAAACTTTAGAGTATGTCGGGGCAAATGTTGTTGGCGGTAGCACTAAAATTCTCCAAAATCCAGTAGATCTTCCGCCTCCTCTATAATACTAGGCAAACTCTGTTGACAGCAATACCTGCAGAGAAATAGTAAACCCGAGTCGTGTCTTACAGACACTGTCCTTAAGAGTTATTCCGCAACTACCGGCAAAGCAAGAAGCGGCACTCCCCAGGATTAAACGGATTCTTCCTGTAAGAACAGAGTGAGCAGAACAGTGAAAGGTAAAAGAACTCAGTAAGGCAAAACACCAAAGGAAGGAAGAGAGTTGCTCGAAAGCTTAAAGCTCAGTCGTAGTGAACTTCGGTTTCATGCCCCATTTATAGGCCGCGGATCACAAGGGAGCATTGGGCACTTAAACACAATTAAGTTTCAGTTTCAATATCATTAACTCACTTAATGAGGATTTAGACTTATTAGAGACATCAGTTACAAATATTGAAGAGGTATAATGGTGATTAATGAGGTATTATTAGACAGATATTTTCCATAAAAAGTGCCCAATACCGTGTTTGACTCATGCGCAGGGGATGAGGAGAAATTGCCAGATTTGTCTTCGGTGGCCCATTGTGCGTACGAGTCCACCCCTCCTCTTAGCCCATTTAGCAGCCCAAGACCTCTTATTACTTGGACCCCCTACAATCCCAAGCAGTGTGGGACCCTTCCTTTGATACACCCACACACACATTATTTACAACAAATGTAACCTACAAAAATATTGCCACTATCTCTGTAATGTGTACAATATGCTAAATTTAATAAATCCATAACAGTGAGGTGCATGATTAGGACAACATGGTTTTTCCCAGAAAGGATAGTGTTGCGGCTGAAATTCAATATTTAGCAATCCACACAAGTCCGAGTCTGTGGCTTATCCTTTTTTCTCCTCTCATTATATAATATTTCTCACATTTCCACTGATCTCTCGGTTTTGCTTTTCCCTGCTATTCAATCCCCCAGTGAGTTGCTTCCTCTTCAACCCTAATTTAAGCTTCTGTTTCACTCTTGTTCACTTTCTCACACACCAATCAATTTGGTTTTTGTAGTTTTAGGAGCTGAATCAAACCGACGAGATGGCGAGGAGCAACTTAGATGAAATCAGAGTTGATATTTCTGTGAGCCCCAGAGTTAATTATTTCAAACTTCCAAAGATTCAAATAATCAGTGATCAAGCCAAGGCTCTTATGGAAGCTGGCGCTCCTGTGATCAGCCTATCGGCCGGAGAGCCTGATTTTGATACACCAGCCGCGATATCTGAGGTTCATTCTCTTGCAACTCCATTTTATCTATTCGTTGCTACATCATCATACAATGGGAGAGTCGGTACTTTTTCCTTTCATTACAAGAAAATCTTGTGTTTGCTTGTGAGTACTTAGGCTGGAATGAATGCAATTCGTGATGGTTTCACTAGATACACCCCACACGCTGGAACACTAGAACTCCGCCAAGCAATCTGTCGCAAGTTAGAAGGTTCATCCCGTTGAGTAGATTATACACTTCATCGTTCTTAGGGTATTTCATATAGCAAGTTTGACAGAATGACACAGTACATAGTTTTTAACTTTCTATTGCAGAGGAGAATGGGATAGCTTATACTCCAGATCAGGTTGTGATTAGTAACGGAGCCAAGCAAAGTATTGTCCAAGCCATTCATGCAGTTTGTTCCTCTGGAGATGAGGTGAAAGTCTTTCTATATTGAAACTTAAAAGCATAGAAATCGCTGAAGTGATCGGTAATTCTATTTCTGGTTCTGAGCCTTCCATTTACTTGGGACTTGATTGAATCAGGTCATTATTCCATCTCCATATTGGGCAGCCTACCTAGAAATGGCAAGGATGGCTGAGGCAAGTCCTGTTATAGTTCCAACAAGCACAGCCAATAACTTTCTGTTGGATCCAAAGCTTCTTGAATCTACACTTACTGAAAGATCAAGATTACTTATTCTTTGTTCTCCATCTAACCCAACTGGATCTGTTTACCCTAAGAAATTGCTTGAAGAGATAGCTCAAATTGTAGCAAAGCATCCCCGGCTGCTGGTACAGTCGTTATATCTACCACCAAAATCATGCTTGCTTCGGAGATTAATGTGTTGATGATAATAACTTATCTCAAACATCTCATTGGTCGTTTGAAATATATAGGTTTTATCTGATGAAATTTATGAACACATAATTTATGCACCTGCAACTCATACTAGCTTTGCCTCTCTACCGGGCATGTGGAACAGGACACTAACAGTAAATGGGTTTTCCAAGGTTAGTATCTAATGATGCAGTTTCTTACTAATAATACATTTGGAATTGCCAATGGGAACGAAACCATGGCTCTAAATTCTAATGGAACTTAAAGTCTGTCTTTTGGGTACTTCATCAGTAATCTTTGTATTCATTTGCTGTTGTCCTCTGTACTATCACCATAAACTATGAAAGTTTTGAATGTGAACTCTTGTAGGCCTTTGCAATGACTGGTTGGCGTGTTGGATATATTGCTGGTCCAAAGCATTTTGTTGCAGCATGTGGAAAGATCCAGGGTCTGGTACACATATATACTTTATCTGTTTCTTCTGCTTCAAGACGTTAAACAGATACTTAGAGTTACCATCTGCAAGAGTTGATATGGACTGGAAGAAGCAGTTTCTAGCAATCATTTGGAAAATTTCTATCTAAAGTAATTTTGCTGAATTCAGATGACTTCAGGGGCAAATAGTATATCTCAGAAAGCTGCATTGGCTGCACTAGGACTTGGTCATGCTGGTGGGGAGGTAGTTTCCATAATGGTAAAAGCATTTAAAGAGCGGCGAGATTTCATGGTCAAAAGTTTTAGGGAAATGGAAGGTGTCAAGATATCAGAACCTCAGGTATACACATTCGATTTTTTGTTTGCCTATGTTATGCAAATAAAAACTATACATGCTTAATCTTTCCTCTTCCTTGTACTGGTAAGTATTTGCATGATAACTTGCAGGGAGCATTTTTTGTGTTCATTGACGTAAGCTGGTACTATGGAAGACAAGCTGAAGAGTTTGGCGTGATTGAGGATTCTGAGTCCTTCTGTCGGTTCCTATTGGACAAGGCACAGGTATTCATTAATAATCACTTTCGTTTGCAGATAGTTTCAGATGATATATTTCCTTGAAATGCAGGTGGCTCTAGTGCCGGGAAGTGCCTTTGGAGATGATAATTGTGTTCGCATCTCTTACTCATCATCCCTCACCACCCTGCAAGAAGCTGTAAGGCGAATCAAGGAATCACTTGTTCCTTTAACCACACGGCCTCTGGTTTCAAGTCATTAAGCTTTCTAATGAGTTCCATTCTGTCATTGGATTGGAAATATGACGTATTTTCATTGTATAGGGCATTATTTAGAAAGAATTTTTGGTCCTAAATATAAGTCATTAACCAACTTATTAGTAACTTACTTTCCAATTTTACCCTTTTTAATAATTAAGATTTAGTGTTTAAATTTTAAAAGCTCATCAAACTTCAATTTTATCTATTTTCATCATTAAAGTTGGGGATAATCTTATAAAAAAATTATCAATTTAGGACAAATTTAATGTTTTAACTGTCATTTTTTAGTATGTGAGAATTAATTAAAAATGCTTATGATAAGGACCACAGGGAGTACTACCATAGAGGCTATTATTTTTTTGGAAAATTACAATGAAATTTCAAGAAAAGAAAATAATTATCAGTAAATTTCAATGACAAGTAAGAAATGTCATTTACTATTTTGGAACTTATTATTATAAACTGTTTTATTGTCACTGAGATTGTTTAATAATTATATTTCTTAATTGAAATTTTATAACAATTCTCCATTATCTGTTTCATGGTTGCATTGGCCTCTCTTATTAATCATTCCTTACTACGTACACTCCAAGAAGCTCCAAACCAACTCAACTGAAAAAGCACTTCTTTTTCTTTCCTTAGCCCCTTCTACTCTGTTTTTAACTTTTTATGTCACTCAAGTGTTCAGTGAAGTTCATTGATTCCGTCAATGAAATGTTTTCTTAATATGAAAATGGATAAATTAATATAAGGAATATGGCAGGTATGATGAGGGGCCAGTTTGTTTGTGATTAAGGTTTTTTTTGGGGGCGGGGGGGAGTGAGGCCGTGAGGCTCGGCATCAGAAAATTGGATGGAGTATTTGTTGTGCGAATTTAAGCTGAACACATTAGGGATGTGTTTAAGAAAACTTATTTTAAATTTGAAATAGCTTATTAGAAAAAATAAAAATATATATTTTTCCCTTTTTTTTGGGCAGAATATATTTTTCCTATAAAACTTTCATGATTGGCATAATGCTCTTCAAACTCCAGCATTAAACTTAACTAAAATAACGTTTTTCTTTAATTTAAAATAGAATAATCCAAATATACTACCTCCGATCTTTAATATAAGAGCTAAATAACTAATTTGATGACATTAAAAAAATTAGTTAAATCAGTTAATTATAACAAATATGTGTTGACTTCATTAAATTATCCTATTTAATCATATGCATGGAAGCTACTCTTTAATGGAAATCTTTTGCAATCAATAAGGATATTTTAGAAAAAACATTATAAATTTAAGAGACAAAGTAAATTAAAGTTTTATATTTAAAAGTAAAATAATTTTAAGTAACTTTTATATTAAGGATATGAGATAACATTTTATTTGTTTATTGCTGATGACTGCCTGGAAGTTTTTAAACCCCATTGTATTAACAGAAAACACTAAAATGATACTTTTCTAATCTCTTAGAATGTTGTATAATTCCCTTTGAAAAAATAGCTTCTTCATCATAAAATTTACAACAATCTCACAAAAGCTCCCCTAACAAGACAACACGAGCCAAGACTGTGTTTTCTTCTTCTTTTTTTCTGCCTTTCTTTTTTCAATTTGGATTTTTTTTAATAAGAATTTGGAAATTACTGGAAAGCAGATGGGAGAGTACGAAATAATGGTGGGCCTGGCCCTCATACGGCTATTAAAGGATTAGGCTGATAATGAGGATGAGAAAGCATCTAAAATCAGAGGCCCTCAACTCACAAGTCTAGTCTTCAGGGTAAATACATGAGGATTTAATTTGAACGTCTGGACCCACAAGTGTTGGTCCAAGTAAAAGAAATTTGGATACTTTAAACATCATGTTTTGGTTTTGATTTTTTGAACGGTGTGTATGAAAAAAAAACTATTGAGAGGGGTCCCCGTTACGACTCCTGATAATACTCTAAGAGATTAGTCTCTTATCCTTCAACTGGAAGGATACTCTGAGCAACCCAAAAAAAAAAAAGCGTCCAGAGTTCCAAACCAAGAAATAAGTATTGGATTTGGTAAAAAAAGGCTAGTTTCTCATGATATAGTGAATTAAGATTCAAATTTCTGTTAGGAAAAGTACCTATATTAGATACTTATGCTTAGTGAAAAAAATATATTTCACACTACAATAAACAAAAACATTTAATGGCGGTTAAAATGAGTTTTTTACGGCGATTTTAAGAGTGACGTCTATGACATCGACATAAAATGTAAAGGATTTCACAGCAGCTTAAGAATCACTGTGGTATGTGACTTTTCACGGCGGTTATAAAATAACCGCCGTGAAAAGTTTTTTTTTTAAGTCTACGTTTACCCCTATTGATCAGGATGGAACGGGAGAATAAAGCCTCAAAGGAAGGGGTCTGAAAATCAATTAACTAATAATCTCTCACCAGTTAAAAGCATTCTGATGGAACATCGTAAATTCTTTCTCGCCGTAATAGTGCCATTTAGCTTCACCTTCAACCACTAGATCAAAGACACTAAGATTTAATAAAGGTAAAATCAAAGACTCAGATCTAATAAAAATCAAATCTTTTTAAACTCAGATTAAACATCATATTTTTAACTAAAAAAAATAATTATATCAAACCACAAAAATTATGAAATCCATAGAAAGAATGGAGGTGAAAAACTCACAAATAAGAATGAAGAGGATGAGGCAATGGTGATGACAACAGGGACAATAACGGTGATGGAAGAGCATGATGGAGATGATAGAAGCAAAGGATAAACACCGACGAAGGTAGGAGGAGAGAGAAAATCGAGTGAGGACAGTAATAGGAAACTATGAGTTCTTACTCTGAAAAGTGAAAATTATCGTACAATGGATTTTAAAATTCTGATAGGTTTTTTAAATAACCGCCTTTAAAAGTATGCCTATAATTACAGAAATGCCACCGTCATATTTTTTACAGTGTTTTTTCTAATAACCGCTATAAATTAGCGTCGTGAAAACTCTTTTTTGTAGTAGTGTCATTTATTTCATTGCAACATAAAATTTTATTTATTTCACTTAATCCTTATTTTATTTTAACCTCTTTCATTTAAAATAGACTTTATAAGCCAGATTTCATTGAACGCATGCCAAATGTTTTTTTTTTTTAAACCTGGCATTATCTCCAGATGGTTTAGGTTGATTCAAGTTGGGTTTAATTGGTGTAAATTCTCCAAACATGAATCATTGATTTTTAAGACCCGTAATATTATATTATTAAAGGTAATGAATGAATGGCTTGCAACTTTTTTCAACGGTTCCAAGTGGGAGCGTATAGATAAATAAAATTACGAATATGCAAAACATGTGCTTTCCAACCTTTTTTTTAAATTGCTTTTTCTTTTGCCAACAAGTGCGTTTCAAGTTTCAACCTTTTGAATCCCTTCGAACAGATTGAGGTTGAAAAAAAACCACCAAGTATTTGCACCAAGTAGTAGGAATTGTTTCAACTTAACTAAAGATCATCGGTATGATTCTTTAGGAACGCAGTAATGCAGGTAGCAGGATTACTACCCATATGAGTCCTATCTCAGTCTGATCCGAATTAATATGATTTGTAATTTTCCAAGAAGTTGACGAGAATACTGAGTGCATATGTCAAGAAAAAACATACAGAAAAAACTGTTAGCCCAATTCAATACATGATGAGACCTCCTATTACAGTAGCTTCAGTCCTAAATAAGTAAATATAAGGACTAGAAAAGAAGTTCATTTTGACTCTAAATATAACATTTAAATTCATTTTATTTTTGAAATTTATAATTTTTTGGTCTAATATCCTTATTAATTATACATATTAAGGAAGCTCTTAATCAAAAGCAATTCTAATACACAATCAAATGCCATAATTTAGAATTTGACAAAAAAAAGAGTAATTTAGAAAAATCAAAATACATTTGTTAAAAAACTAATTTACTTATTTTTTAATATATTGAAATTAGTTATTTAATTGTTATATTAATTATAGGAGGTAATACTTTTATTTCTAACTGCGTCATTACGGTAAAATGTTTCAAAAAATTAGGATTTGAGTTTCGTGGCGTCCATTTAATTTAATTTATAAGAATATATAAAGGGTTATATTGTTCAACAACTACAAATAATATGACTTACTATGAATGATAGCACCCATATAGGTCACATTATTAGGCTTGAATGTATAATTTTACTTCTAATTTATTTTTTTGTTGACTATCATTTTTTTAAAAAAAATAAATATACTAAATAGGATTAAAATTAAAATTTTATTAAATTTTGGAATAAAAATTAATGAGGTTTAGAATTTTTCTTAATTTGAGAAAATATACTTATCTAATCCAAGTTATAAAGCATAGAAAGAGAAGATTTTTTAGACTTTTTTTAGAATAGATTTTTCGGACGCACCTTTTATTTTTTTATTATATAGATTGTTATTATAGAGTAAAGTTGGAAAGTTATTAACTTTTAAGGTGGAGCTTTTGAGGTTCAACATTTTTTATTCTTATAAAATATGTTAGAAATGACTTATAAATTCATAAAAGAAAAAAGAACGACCCATAAATATGAGAGCATTTGGATGGAACCAAACTGTAGTTTTAAAAGTGATTTTAGAAGATGAAATAATTATATGAGAGAAGTTTTATCTCGACTTATATAAAAATACTTTTTTTTAAAGTGTTTTTAGTGGATCAAAAAAGTATGCATCATAATTCACCAAAATAATGGGAAATTGGGGATAAATTTTTCATTAGAAAATTAATTAGCAAATGGTCCATATAATTATGGATTGCACAAGAGGAGATAAGTAGCATACAAAAAAAAAAGTTACATAAAGAGAAGATGGTCTGCATAAAATATTAGAACTAATATTTGCATAGAGAAAAACTGAATTGCACGCAAGAAAAATTAAGTTATACAACATTCTTATGAACCATTATTCGTTAATTAATTTCTCAATAAGACTTATTTCCAATTTTCCTGAAAAAAAACAGTATATATATATGTGTGTGTGTGTGTATATATATATATATATCATAGGAGTAGGGGAATTAGAAAACGTTTTAACGGATGTCTCATAAGAAAAGATTGGCTTTAGGATCACATCGATGAGTTGAAGAAGAGAAGATGAAGAATTTAAAGTGGATTCTCTATTCCACTTA